TCAAGTGCATTTGCACTTGGGGAAACAACCTTCTCTCTCTCCAAGCACTCAGCCAAGGTCCATCCTCCCTTTGGATTCCCATGAACTCAGGGCAGGTGCAGAGTGACTCCACTTGGTCCCACCTCTGCCCCTGTTCTGTTTGGACACGCAGAGTTCACGGCCAAGAGGGGCAGGACCCGGCTCCTTGTCTTCGGGCTTGTCCCATGCGCTCCCAGAGGACTTGGAATATTGAAACCAGGCAGATCATTAAACCCCTGCTCCTGGTGCTGCCACAGTGCCCATCCCCTGGCACTGCAGGCCTGGCCTGCACTGAATGGCCAGTGCAGCAGGAGCCGGGATTGCTGCAGAGATGATCCAAGCAATCAGCCATCCACTGAGGATTGCTGGATTTCACAGTTTCCTCAATCCTGCCTCATCCTCCCAGCTTCTGTTTAGGTTCCCTGGGAGCCACAGTTTGGCTCTTCTGCCCATGGGAATTATTAATGACAAATGGAGGGCAGGTACATTTTGATCTGTGGTACAACTAAAATAACAAGGGTCACTTACAGGGGTGTTAAAGGTATTGTCAGTCACACGAATCACAACGTCAGGTGTGGCCAAGAAGGGTCTGAGTGACAGGGACACACCAGGGCTGAGTCATTAACCAGTCAGTAAGAGTTGGCAGACCCAGTGAATTCCCCCTAGAACAGTGTCTTCCCCATGGGACATCGGGCAGGGCTTGCTCTGCTCAGCATTCCCTGCCTGCTCCCAGGATTCCTGAGGGACAGGCTCTGCATCTGCAGGGTCGGATTGAGGGCTGGATCCACTCAGGATAAGGTTCCATCAGAGGGGCTGGAAGCCAGCAGGGTCCTGTGGGAGCCAGAGCACAAGCACAGCCCTTCCCCACACTGAGCACTCGAGAGCACCTTGTCATTGGGTGTCTTCTTGTGGGGTTTTGTTCAATACTTGTTGATTCAAATTCAAAAAACTAGGGGTAAATACAGCTTTGTCTACTTGGGGTGTCACGTTCCCCCTTTTTTGTTTAAAAAGTATGGTTTTTAATACAGAGCACACATTTCTTGCACCTGGGATAGGCACAAGTGATAAGACCACATTTATGGGTTTTTTGTTTTCTTTCTGCTTTTTTTTCTCTTTCTTTTTTCTTTCTTCTTTCCTTTTTTCTCCTTTTTTCTTTTTTCTTTCTTTTTTCTTTTTTTCTCTCTTTTTCTTCTTTTTTTTCCTCATTTTTTCCTGTTTTTTTCTTTTTTTTCTGTTTTTTCTTTCTTTTTTTTTCTCTTTTTCCCCCTTTTTCTTTTTTTTCTTCCTTTTCTTCTTTTTATTTTCTTTTTTTTCCTTTTTTTCCCTTTTTTCTTTTATTTCCCATTGTCTTCTATCAGTTGTATTTTCAAGGAAGATTCAAACACACATCAAAACAATCTCCAGGTACATATCTTACGACAGCAGATAATCTGCCATTGTTCCAGGTTCATGAGGATTCCCAAGATCACAAACACTGAGACATGAAGGCTGGAAATGAAGCAGCTTTGTCCTGTCCCTTGCCATAGCGTTCAATCCACACCCAGCCCTGGATTTCTGGGAAGCCGCTGGGCAGGAGCAGGAGATGGAGCTGGTGTTGGGCAGGAGGGGCAGGCAGGCCGGGCACCTTCCCTTAGAGGCACTTCAGTTATCCAGGAGATCCAACGGTTCTAGGGCTGTGTCCATTCTTCAGCCATCCAGCCCTGGCACAGCCCCGGCGCGGCCGCAGCCAAAAGCAGCCCCGATTCCCAAAAGTGTCATGAGGAAGGACGGGGGTGGAAAACCCCCACCAGAGGTAAATGAGCACCATTAAAGGCAGGAGAGAGACCCCCCCACTGCAGGGAGATTCCTACGAGTCAAGGTAGGAGACAGAGCCCTCAGCAGAGGCCCTAAAGCCCCGTCAGCGGGGATATCAATAGGCTGAGCAGCAGAGCAGATACAAACGGCAGGGAACACATCCTCCTTCTCCCCGAAGACGTCCTCCAACAAGTCTAAAAGATGCATTTTCAAGGTGTCCAAATTGAAATAGAACATTGCCATCATTGTCCCTTTGTCCCTACATCAGGCTCTGTTACTCTCCACGGCTGCATCAAAGGAAATGTTCCTTGCTCATCCCTATTGCTCATCCATAACCTTCTGTCCTGCTGCATTCCAGACCTGTTGCAAAATCTTCCTGCAAAGTCCCGTGTTCTCGGGAAATTCCCTGCCCATTGTTCCTACAGGGCTCCACAGATTCCTGTGCCGTGGGCTCCGCTGTCCCGTTCCCACGGGATGAACACCGGCACTTCCCACCTCCGTTGAGTGGCGGGTGCTGGGAGAGTGTCCCGGAGCTCAGGTCGCACCTCGGGGCCACCAGAGATGGGGCTGAAGGAGAAAATGAGGCTGCACACACAGAGTTCCATTTTGGGACCTGTCTGCCCATCTTTCCGGTGTCCCCCTTTCATTGGGGTTCCTTTGGAAACAGTGCCTGGGGTTTGTCTTTTAGTCCACCAGAATTCCCAAATCGCCCCAAAGCAGTGCCCTGATCCCACACATTCCCTCCCCTCATGTGCTGGCTGTGTTCAGACACCAGAGAAAAACACAGGCTGCCATGCAGAGCGTTCCAAGGGGGTTTCCACTCTCTGGATCGGAAACACCAGTCAAGGCCAAAACACTCCTTGTTGATCCCAATTAACTGAATGCAGCTGCTGCTGCCTTAACTTGTTCCCACAAAACTTCTCAGGGTTCCTTTGCTTCCAGGAGGCCCCACATGTCACAATGGCCCCTCGATTCCATGGGGTTCCAAAATGTCTCAGGAATCCTTTGGTCCCATGACCCCGCATATCCCAGTGGCCCCTTGGTTCCATGAGGATGCACAGTCTTGGAATTCCTTGGCTTCAATGAGGCTTTGTAGTGTCCCAATGGCCCCTTGGTTCCAGGAGTTCCTGCAGTGTCCCAACAGCTCCTTGGTTCCAGGAGTTCCTGCAGTGTCCCAATGGCTCCTGATTCCACAGGGTTTCACAGTGTCCCAGTGTTCCTTTTGTTCCGTGAGGATCCGCAGTGGAACAGGGTCCCTTTGGGGCCATAAGGCCCTGCAGGGTCACAATGGCCCCTGGATTCTGGGAGGTTCAGAAATATCTCAGGGCTGAAAAAACTGGGATTGTTCAGGCTGGAGAAGGGAAGGCTTTGGGGTGACCTAATTGTGGCCTTGCAGTGCCTGAAGGGAGCCAACAAGAAAGATGGAGGGAGACTTTGGACAAGGGCCTGGAGTGACAGGACAAGGGGCAGTGGCTTCACACGGATAGAGGGAAGGGTTCAAGGAGACAGTAGGAAGGAATTCTTGACTCTGAGGGTGCTGAGATGCTCTTTAAGGCCCCTCCCAAGCCAAAGCATTCCATGATTCTGAGACTGGTGGGTGAGGTGTGGTCAGAGCCATCTGGGGCACAGGGACACAAAATGAGGGAGTTTTCCATTGTGGGGGAAGGAAGGAGGGGGCAGCAGAACTGACCCCTTGGACACCTGGCAGGCAGGCTTTGGCTTTCCTGGGAGAATGATGGGTGGAGTCCCTTGGGAGTCAGTCCTGAAGAACAAAAGAGTCCAGGAAAGCTGGAGGTGCTTTAAGAATGAAATCTTCAAGCTCCAGGAGCTGTGCTCATGTGTCCTAAGACAAGCCAGGGGGCAAAAAGCACAGCTTGGTTAAAGGGAGAACTCAGGCTGGAACTCAGGGTTAAAAAGAGAGTGTCTCACCTCTGGAAGGAGGGGCAGGAAACTTGGGAGAACACAAGGATGTGGCCAGGTCATGTAGGGGGAAAATTAGAAAGGCCAAAGACAAACGGGAACTGAATTTGGCCACTGCACTTACAGAGAGCAAAGAATGTGCCTCTAAATCCATGGGCTCCAGCCAAAGCCGTGGAATTTGTTTCCTTTGGGTTCAAGGTCAGACTGTGCCTGTGTCCAGCCCAGAGGCTCAGAAAAGCATTTCTGGGGGGGTTTCTGAAGGCAGCACTGTCCTAGTTAGAACAGCTGGGACCAGTTCATCACTGGATGGGTGTAACCCAAACCTGTGTATTCTAGAGCCTTCCATGCCATTTCCCAGGAACTGTTATCAACAGAGCATTTACACCCTCTGCCCAGAGCAGCCCTGACCCCTCAGGCTGTAAACTGGGTGTTCAGAGGCCTGTGGGATAGGAGGGTGCTCCTGTCCTCACACCCAGTGTGGAACTCCCTGCCCTGAGGGAAGGACTGAGCATTCCTGCCTCAACTGGAGAATATATAAACTTGGAGTTTTGGAACCTTTTTACCACTCGTGGGATCCAGAGGAAGACTGAGACCACCGCTCTCAACCAGACTGAGACCACCTTTTTCAACCAGACTGCAACCATCACCCTCGACCAACAGGTTTTCCCCCTCTCCTTTTCCTTTGGACTCAGGGGGCCCAAAGAACCCCACTCTGTTCCTGCCCCAGGGTGCTGGGTTATACATTTGGGTTTTGTGGGTTAAAACCAGTTGTTTGTCTATATAATTGTACTTACTGTATTATTTTATTAAATTGTTATTCTGACTTATAATCTCTCTTTTGAGTTGAGTTCATTTCCCCTCCTGGTTTACCTTTAAACCAGCACACCCCTCTTTTCAGATATTTTTAGGTCTGGGAGTGCTCCAACCTCCCAGTTTCTGAGATTTTTATGGTCTAGGAGAGACAATACCCCCATGTTCCCAAGATTTTTGGAGTCTGAATATTCCCAACCCCCTTGTTCCTGTCTTTTTCAGACAATGGATGTGCCCAAACCCCTCTTTTCCAAAATTTCAGGAACTAGGAGTGCCCAACCCACCCCGTTCCCAGGAGTTTCAGAGCTCCCCCACTTCTCCCAAATAACCAGAACTGCAGAGCACTAAGAAGCTTTACTGGGAACACTGGGAACAGCTGGTTAGTGTGGGAAGAAATGCAGGGAAGGGGGGGACAGGCGACCCCCCCAAATCAGCGCAGGGTTTGGGGGGGTCCCGGCTGGGCCCGAGGCCACGGGGAGGGGCTGCGGCCGCCGGTGGCTCAGGAGCTCTGTGGGGAGAGAAAAGGGGGTGAGAGCAAAAGGGCTGGGGGGGCAGGGGGGGCCCAGAGGCTGTGGGAGAGCAAGGGGGGGGACACGACCCCCGGAGACCCCCCTTTACCTTCTCCCGCAGGTAGAAGCCGAGCCCCAGCGCCAGGAAGACCAAGCCCAAGACGAAGCCCCCGACCCCCACCAGGATCTTGCTGCGGACGGTGTCCGGTGGCATCTCTGGGGGGAGCCGGGGGGGTCAGCACCCCCAAAACCTCCCAGAGAACCCACAAACCCCAGCCCAGTCTCTCCCAACCCACCCAGGGGTCCCTGAAACCTCCTGCCAGTCCATTCCCAGACCCTTTAGGGATCCCACCCAGCTCCTCCCAGACCCTTCAGGACCCTCCCACCCCCCTCCCATCACCCCCAGCACCCACCAAACTCCCTCCAGTGGCCCCCAGTGTCCCCCTTTCCCCCCCAGCCCCCCTGGCAGTGTGCCCCCGGGGCTGGGGGGGCCGGGCCGTACCCCAGTGCCGGCTGAGGGGGTGCTCCAGGC